TTTTTGCGCAATTTTAAAGGCTACTTTATGTCACTTGGTGCAAAATCATGGGAAAGTTATCACGCATCAACTCCCGTTTGCGTCAATAGTTTTCTTCGGTTATTTCCAATAACAGAAAAAGTCAGCGGGAAAAGGTGGCTCAAGAATTTTATCAAGAAATATTTGATATTTTGCATGGAGATAAACAATCTCTTGTTTTCAGAGCCCAGTGATAGTGAAATAAAAACGCTGGTCCACCAAAAAAATACATTGTAAGGGTCTTGGAAGGTAAAGAAAGTTACGAGTATACTTTTAGATTTAGTGCCACGTAAAGTCAAACTAAGTCATTTATATTTATAAAATGGAGAATTGGTACATTGTGTTACTAACTATAAAATGAACCAACCGTTCTCGTCGAAATTAAGCATGGAAAAAAGAAAGGAAAAGTCCGATCATACTTGAAAACACGGAGTCCCTAGAACAGTCAACAATGTTGAGAAATTGTTGCGTCGAAGCTAGAAACGCAGAAGGAAAACCCTACAGTTGAGACCGTGACACTTTCAAAGCCATTCACTCTGGATTGGAGGGATTTTTATCTGGTTCCCCTCAAAGTAAGCCTTTTCCGTTATTCGGGATGAAGTTATCAAACCAGCAAACAAAGCCCTAGAGCCGTGGCGAAAATCTAAAGTGTGTATGACAGGAATTTTTTTTTTGCGTTTTCTGGTTGATAGCTGTATTTAAAAATTTGAAATAATCGACCATAGTGCCTCCTAGCGTTCCCCTTCACCATTTTTTTGCGCATTGAAAGTACGATTTGGCGGCCTAAAAGTTTCCAAATTTAGTGCGCGGCCATGTTACATAGCTGTGACGTAGAAAATTGAGAAGACACGTCGGCAACTATGGTAGAGAAAGGAGAAATCAAAAAGAGGAAACGAAACTATTGGGTAGTCGGAGCGGCAAACAAGGTTAGCTACAAGAATAGAACACATATACAAGGCATTTCTCTACAATTCCTTCCAAAGGATGTATCTGTATAGACGCGTTTTGATCGTCGACATCGAGGAGATTTTACTCTCTATGGTCGTCGGCCTTATGCTCCGTCCCGACCTCGAAGACGGCTGTTACGAACACATACCACTGGTCAAATCAGGGAAAGATGGCCTATGAATTCAGCTAAAAAGAATGCCAATTAAAAGCCCCTTTTCCAACACCGGACACGTTTGTTCCATTTTCTGTTCGGCTGACATTTCGCAAGCGGAGAATGGTGAGCTTTTTATTGTGGTTTATTTCACGCGCTTGAGATGTACTCACCCACTATCTTATCATATCGCTACATTTACACTTTTCTTACCGTATGAATATCCTACCAGTTGAGTGTCCATCTTCTTTTAATTCCAGAAATACATGATTTGTAATAAAAGATCAAGCCCTTTCCTGAGCTTACCGGCATCCTATCTCCTGAAAAGCGCTAAACCTCAGGCGGACACTGGCAAAGATACAAGCTCGAAATGGCAACGTATTCTCCCACGCTAGGTTTCCGAAAATCCACCTGACGAGCCATAAATTCTCCCCTTCCCTAAAGAAACTAAAAGAAGTAACGGTAGCAATCTCATTGTCATAACAGCAATGTAACAAGATGAGTTGTGAAACACAAATATCAGTGAATTAGATAGTAGTGAATCCAAGTGCTGTATGAAAATCGATGCATACGCATTTACAACTTTGATATCACTTTATGCCAGTGAGCGAAATGAATTATGTTACGATGCTGCACCTAAAAAAAATAAGTTTTTCTCTATCAAAATCCCTATTTGAGACAAACTTGAATCAGATGACAATAAATTCTATCGTTTTCCGTTTGACCGGCTTCACGACGAAAGCCTCTGTCTCTGCAACCCAGGATAAAATAGGCAATTTGCAATAACCGCCTCCCGGTTATTGCAAATAGAGCGCTGGACTGTTGTGCGGGAGGTCGAGGGTTCGAGTCCCGGCCGGACCAACACTCAAGCTCTTAAAATAATTGAGAAGAATTTGCTACCTTTCTATAACATCAAGAAATGGTTAGATATTCTAGTCTTCTCGGATAGGGACGAGTAAATGGAGGTCCCGTCTCCTGCAGGGTTGGGGTAGGAGACGTTAATTTCCCACACACGAGATTACTGTGTGATGGATGTCCTCCCCTGGGGTGGGATGGAAACTGCCAGAAGTTTTCATGGCTGCTTGGCATGTGCTTAGTAAACACCACTTTAAGAAAGTAGTCGGGACACTTTAATGGTCCATGGAGGATGTGTATGGGCTTGGATAAAATAGAAAGTTGAAATCCGAGGCTATTTCTGTCTATGCCAACAGAAGGCCGGAAGACCATGATGACAGATCAAAGAAATCGATATTTGTCATTTTAAATAGAAATGCTTGCAAATCCTCAGTGGTCTG